ACCAGGCTGAGGCCATGGCAGGAGCAGGGCTACTCAGGGCTTGGAGATTTGGGCCCTCCGCCAGCAGGAAGAGGCCCCTGGGGTCTGAGGGGACCCTACCCCCACCCCCCGCCCTGAACACCAGCTGGAATCAACCCTTAGGACCAAAGGTGTGGCGGGGCTTCCAAGGGGAATGGGAGGATGGAGACAGTGAAGGGGGCAGCATCAGGAAGTCACACACAGAGGGGCTGCGGTACAGGTGCCACACCAGGGTTGCCTCAGGGTTTCCTGGGCACCAGGACCAGGCCAGTGATCCCTCCAGCTGCAGCGCAGTGCAAGGCCCCAGCATATCCAGCCAGCCCTGCACCCAGAGCCCCCCATGGCCCCGCGGCCTCCTGCATAAGACCCACCCACCCTGCCTGTTCCTCTGCAAAGCAAAGTGCTTCTCAAGGACCTTCCTGACCCCCACGGAGGGACAAACTTCATCCTCAACCTGCCCAGGCCATGTGCTTGCCACTGCTCTTCACCATCACCCCCAGGAGAAGGCAGCCCCCCTGTCATCACCGTGTCCCTAGCAGCTAGAGCATTTGACAAGTACCTTCCAAGTGCACGAGGGGGTGGACTGCTCCACACGGAGGACAGGAGGGAACGTGCACAGAGAGGAAACCAAGGAGGAGGTGGGAGATGGGACGAAGCCATTCTCTTCATCTCGCCATCCCTCTCCCTGTCCCTCCCCGTCTCACACCCCGTTGGTCCTTGTACATCAGCCTCTAACCTTCTCTCTGCACTGCATCTTAGCCCGCATGTTGCTTCCGAGTTCACCAGTCACACAACAGTCTGAGTCCTGGTGCAACGACGACGCTGCTTCCTCACAGGCCAGCCCAGGGCACACTTAGCTCCACCTCCCCCACCCCACCCCACCCCGACCCCCACCCCCACCTCTGCTTCCCACTGAGAGACCCAGACACCTACGCATTGCACCCCCTGGTGGCACCTCCCCTCATCCACCCAGGATGTCTCTCCAGCACTTGCTGTCTACGTCCCCTGCTAGTCCTTGCCTCCTGGATGAGCCCACAGGCTCCAGCCCTCATCCTGCCCCTTCATCTCCCTTCTGCTACTACCCCAGCTTCTGCCTTGCTTTGCTACAAAACACCCTGGAAAAGAAGAGCCACCACAGGTGCTCACCACGAACCCCTCCTCCGTTGCTGCAAGAGCACTTCCTGGCAAGCCACTGTCAGGACCCCACCACGTGCACGCTGCTGAATGCCATCCTCAACTGTGCATCCTCCTCCTGCTTCTGTTCAAGAAGAGCTCCTCCTTCCTGAAACACCATCCACTTTCCTCTTGGGGTTCTCCACCCACTTCACTGGCCAGTCCCAACCCACAAACTCAGGTCCCTAGGCTCAGAGGGCGGCTTCCCCAGGGATCCTGCCTAGTCTTGGGCTCAGATGACCAGAAGTTCGCCTGTGCCCTGCGCTGACACCTTCACCACAGCCTCTCTAAGTATCTAAGTGACTCATCCCTCACATCATTCCAAACTCACCGTGGAGGATTCCCCTGAGCATCCCACACGCAGCAGCTTCCCAGGCCACACTCTGCACCCCTTATTGCCACTTGCATGCGGGGAACTAAAGGATGGAGTAATCTTCATGGCACCCCACCCGCAAATGCAGTGATATATTGTCATATATTCAGGGGCAGGGGTCGTGAGGGCCACAAGGAAACATCTCACGTTAAGTGAAGTGTAATGTTCTAGGAAGACTATCCACAATAAGAAGAAACAGCAGGGCTGGGGAGACTGTGCCCCCCGGAAAGCTGCCCACAGGCCTCAGGGGTTTTGTCCACTGCTGTGTCCCCAGTGCCTGGCAGAGGCTCAGCAAATTCTGCATAAATGAGTGCTGAGTGGTCAACAAATGATTAGCAGGCAGGTGCGTGGACGAGAGGGCAGACAGAAGGACCACAGGCAGGACAGCCCTCAGCTCATTCCCCTGGAGCCAGGACAAGGTGCTATGCCCCCTACCACCAAGGGTGAAGCTAGGCTTGGTTTACAGGTGGGTGTATGAGGGAGAGAGCATTTCCTGAGGCAAGGTCAGGACCCCACCCCGCCCCAGGCTCCTCCCATGACCTATTCACCAGCCTCAGAAGCACAGGGTCCCCAGGTGGCCTCGAGGGACAAGCTGGGCTTCACCAAGCAACAAGGCCTCCCCAGCCAGTCTCCCCTCCCCACCCTGGGCCTCCAGCCCTCTGAGCACCAATTAACTAAACCCTAATTAAAAACAACAAAGTAATGAGAAGTAATGCCCCTCCCATGGCCACCCACAGGGACCTCAGCTCTGGGGCGGCTGGGTCAGGGTAACTCCCTGGATTCCCCACCGGCTAGCACTCACCCCAAAATGGGCCTAGGGCCTCCTTCTAGCACATGCCCACGTGCAAACACACCCAGGTGCATGAGTCCCTGTGAGCTGCAAGCAGGAGCAACAGAGCAGGTTCCCCGTGCGACTCTGGGCTCCCGGGTGAGCCTCCTCCCCACCTAGGGGCCCGCTCCCAAGCTAGAGCCACCTCTGGGGACAATGTGCAGAGAGAGGGAGCCTGGAAACCACTGGTGCCAACCCTGGCCCTCTTCCTGCAGACAGAGCAGAGGCTCTGCCTCCCCGAGGAGAGACGCAGAACAAGGCCAGAAAGAGAAAAAGAGCAAGAAAGAACAAGAGGAAAAGACAGAGATGGAGAGAGTAGAGAGAGAGAGAAGGTGGGAAAGGCAGAGACAGGACCAAGGAAGTACGGCAGGGAGAAGAAGGAAAGGAGGCAGAGATGCAGAGACGGGTGAGTGGACGACAGAGCGCAGGAGAGAAGGGGACCCAAGAAAGAGAAAAATCAGAGAGAAAACAAATGCACAGAGAGAGGGGTCTCCAAAGAAGGGGCAGGACCGGGGACCCCTCGCTGGGGCCAAGGTGAGCCCATCCTCTACCCTCCTGTGCGTCACTGGGCACAGCTCCATGGAAGGACCGGCCCCCTGACCTGAAAGCAGGATGCATCTCTCAGAAGACCAGGGGTCCTGCCAGAGCGTCAGCAGGGGCTGCTCTGCCTCCCTGCCTTGCTCCCAGAAGCCCAGACACTCTACACCTTGATGGCCTCCCAGGGGCAGGACTAGACCTCCCAGACCGTTCCCTGCACCCCTGCTTCAGTAACCCGTTAATTCAGCAGATGGTCTCCTCTGACCCCTCCTGGGGTCACCCCAAGCAAGGCTCCAGAGACACCCTGAAAAATAAGCACTGTTGTCCTCAGGGACGCATGCCTAGAGGGAGGGAGCAATATACACAGGGACACTCCTGGACACCCTACCCGGAGCCCCGTGGACTGAGCCACACTCACCTGCACACCCCCACCAGCATCGTCTGCGGGGCTGTGATCTCCACCAGGCCTCAGAGGAATTTTGGCAAATTCACCAACACCACCCCCACCAGGGAGTGGGAGTGCCCCAGGCTCAGGCAGCTGTGGGCTGCGTCCACCTTGCCTCAGAACCCCACTTCTCCCAGCAGAAGGCTTTCCACTCCTCCTCCCTTCCCAGTCACTATGAAGCATGGAAGGGAAATCAGCCCCTGGTGCAGAAAAACTACTAATTCAGATTCCAGAGGCACCCATCCCATCGGTGGTGGTACAGGGAAGTGCATGGGCTCTGGCACAGAGGGCAAGCAGTCAAGCGGTGCCATCCCTGCAAGACAGCAGCCAGCTGAGAGGCCCTGATGCTCCCTGTTGCTCCCTGTTGCTCTCTGATGCTCCCCAATGCTCCCTGATGTTCGCTGATGCTCCCTGATGCTCCCTGATGCTCGCTGTTGCTCCCTGATGCTTCCTGATGCTCAGTGATGCTCCCTGATGTTCACTGGGGGTGCCCAGACACTGCGGCCGAGCCATCACCACCTGGAGCAAACAGGGACAGGGCAGGCAGGCACCCCGAGAGGCCGTCTGCGGGAGCCCAGAGGCTAGTTAGCCAATCTGCGTCCTCTCACACGCAGGAGCCCGTGGAGGCCTGAGCCCCAGACCTGGGGCACCTGCTGTGCCCTCCTCCATCCCCGCCTTCTGCCCAAAGCACCTCTGCACACGTGCTCACTGCACGAAGGCAGCTCAGCCCAGCACAAGGTCAGAGGCCATGTTCACAATCACCAGCCTTGGGAAGGAGTGTTCGGGGCCACAGCAAGGCCTGCTCCCTCCCCCTGATCTGGGCTCTGGGTCTTTCGAGGAGGAGGAGGACCAAGGCCCCAGGGAAGAGGAGACTGCGGTCCCTGGGGCATGCGCTGTGCAAACAGGTCCTGTGGAGCCAATTCCCCAAGCACTCAGCCACTGCACCCCGAGCAAAAGCAACAGCTCTGCTCCAGGGCTAGGGACAGACAGGGACCCAGGGGACCGGCTCGCGGGCGACAAGCGAGGTGCCCTGCCTGCGCCTTGCGCCGAGCCCATCCTCCTGGACTGCTCTGGGAACCACAGACCGGTCACTATCGAGGGCCATTCGGGGAGGAACGTAGTGGGTAGGACACACTGAGGAAGCGCATCAGGCGCACGAACTCATCCCAGCGCAGCGCCTGCTCTAAGAATGTGCTTCCGCGGGCTCCCCAGGCGGGAGCCAGCGCACCTCCGGCCGACCGCAGGCCGACCTCGGATGCGGCCTTGATGGTGGACCTCCGTCGGACGTTGGACGTTGGCAAGGCTGGAGCCCACAGCCCCGCCCCTGCCCCGGGAGCCCCGCCCCGCCCCCTCGCCCCGCCCCGCCCCTCGCCCCGCCCCCACGGAACCAGCGGGCAGGGCCTGTGGCTCTGCAGCAGCCTCACCTGGGACCGAGCACTGCCAGTGAGCCCTTCAGCCAGGATGGCCACCCTCGGGCAACAACCCGGCCCCAGAGCGGGAGGGGGGGCGGCCAGCCTGTCCTCACGCAGCCGCCCGCACCCGCCACACCCGCGCGGCCGGGCGTGCACATTGCGGCCCAACCCCCAGCCCCAAGCAAGGGCGCACCCTGGGCCCTGGCCGCCTACCCTGTGAGAACCACCACAAAGTCCATGACGTTCCAGCCGTTCCGCAGGTAGGAGCCCTTGTGGAAGACAAAGCCCAGAGCTATGATCTTGATCCCCGCCTCAAAGCAGAAGATGCCAATAAAATAGGGCTCTGTGTCGTCCTGGGGAGAAGCAGAGAGAGGATCGCCACCACCCCCGAGGCTAGCAGCCACACCGCAGCCATGGCCCCAGCTCTGACTCCCCACTCAGCCTCGCCACCCACAGACATCTCCAACTTGGCCCTTGCCTCTAGCCAGCCTGCTCCTCCGCCCTGTTCCCATAGCCAGTGACATCCCAGTCACAGTGGGGAGGGGTCCTGGGACAGCCCACCCCTCAAAGCCCTGCAGCAGTTGACAGCATTTGTGAGCTTTCCTATACTCCATCCAACACCCCGTGTGTTAAGCACTGTTCTCATCCTGTTCCTAAAGGGAACAGGCACAGAGAGGTCAAGGTCTAGGCTGGAGACTCACAGTTTGTTGGAAAGAGAGCCATATTCAAACCCTGAGCGACCTGGGTTTGGTCCTGAGCTCCAACCACTACAGAAGTTGCCTGGATGATGCCCCAAGTCCCTAGAGTGCAACCCAGGACCCACTTAGTCATTCAACACACATCTTCTGGATAATCATAACTTGCAAATACAAATCTTGTTGGGCACAAATACAGCCCAGCCTCAGGGAGCCTCTGGAGAGTAAGGCATCCAGCTGGGCAGCAAGGAAAGGAATTCCAGGTGGAGGGGACAGTGTGACCAAAGCAATCTTGTCACTCAGCCAGGAGCATCAACGAGGGCCAGACCCCTCTGGTGCTGAGCAAGGCAGGAAACAAGCTGCATGGAGCTTGGGGACGAGGATGCCACACAGAGGCATGCAGAGACAGTGCAGTAAGTAACCAGGAGCATCGCTCTCTGGGGGAGGGTGGCATAGAGAGCTTTGGTGCTGGTGCGCCCCAGGGAACTGGGCCAAGGGAGTGCACTGGGAGGGTTGGCCTAAGAAATAGCCTGAGTGCTGACTCTGGACACCTGTGCTCCAAGGCTGCTGTTGCAAAAAGCAGGTGAGCAGATAGTGGGAAGGGCCTGCCCTCAGGAAGCCACAGGAGGCCCTTCGAGAAACTGGCTCTGCCCTGCCAGAGAGGGGCCAGTGCTGGAGGACTGGAGGACAGCCACCTGGGGGCTGCAGGGGACAGGAGAGCCAGATGGGCTCCCACTGAGGGCCAGCGCCCTGTGCCTTCCTCCCCCAAGGAGCTGGTCCTCAGGAGCTCTCCCCATCTGACCTGGTAACCCCTGCTACTGGGCCTTCCCAGCTGTGCCTGGCGGAAGCTACCGCCCCCAGGGGCCCGGGCAGCCCAGCTCTCCCATTCTGCTACCCAGATGCTGACTCATGACAGACATCATCCCCCGGAAGCTTTAGGTCCAGCCAAGTTGGAGGGTCCCCTCTCCCCAAGGGAAGGGGCTGCTGACCATCTGGCCCAGGGAACAGCTTGGCTCGAACACACACATCTTCACAGAGAGCTTCTGGACACATAAGAGAGCAGGCCAGAGCTGGGAGATGGGGTGTGGCCCCACCCCAGGTCCCTCTCTTCATGGCTCTTTCCCCAGCCCCTCTCTTGAGGGCTGGCTCGGGGAGGGGTGGGATGGGACTGCCAGCTGAGGGTCCTGGCTAAAGGCTGATAGGTGGCTGGGAAGCAGAGCCTCCAGAGACAGGGAACTGTGGAGGCCCCACCCTGGGCCAGGCTGGCAAACAATGAAGAGGCTGTCCTTGCACCACCAAGCCCCAAACCTACTCCCCTGGCACCAGCACAAGCCTCCTGGACTGAAGGCCAAAGCTGCCACAGCCCCTCCTCTCCAGGCCCTGCTGTGTGTGCAGCCTTCTCTCCGACCAGGAGTCTAAGGCTTATGTCTGCACACAGGACTAAGGTCAGGAGGGCTCCTCAGGCCTCTAGGCCCAGCCCAGGCTGGGCTCATTCTGCTTGTCTTCCCAATGGCCCACCCCCATCACCAAAAGCAAACCTTCCCTCACCGGGAAAGCGGGAGCTCAGACTTGCTCAGATGTCTGGCTGGCCCATTCGAACCTGCCACCCACCAGGGACAAGCCTGAGACCAACTGCTGTCTGCTGGCCTCCCTGCCCCCTACCATTTCTTGGCCCGTTGCGTTCTGGCCCTACCCCTGCCAGACTTCCCTGGAGGCACGGCCACGCCCTGTGGCCTGGCAGAGGTTCCGTGCTCTCACTTTCACCCTTTTCTCCGGCCTCCGGAACAGACGCTCAGCACAAGCACACACAACACCAGTGTGCACATGAGGCCCACAGGAGGCCAGTGACCCGTCCAGCTCCACATGGGGTTAGAGTCACCCATGGGGACCACACCCACTCTTGCCAGGTGGCACGGCCATGCCTTCCTTCATACCTCTCCTCTCCCACAACCCTGGCCTTCCAAGTGCCTGCTTAGGGCTGCTCCAGGAACCTCCCGTCCCCTGATGTCCACTTCCTTGCCGTCTTTTGGTGCCTTGCCCAAGGTCAGCCTCACTCTGTCTTCCCTTCCCCACCCCTGGCCTGGGATGGCAGGGAGGGGAGGCATTCAGAGCTCCTACGGTGAGCCTACTGCCTTGTCCCACTGAAGTTAGGAAGAGAAGCTATGGAGAGGGTCAATCATCACTTGCCAGGGTACCAGGAAAAAGGGATTCTCTCTCCATGCTCAATGCCCCCAGGAGGTGGGCTGTCTCTCAGGGACCTTAGGACCTCTGCAGCTTTGCAGCCAGGCCCCAGGCCCCCTCTCCAGGCCCCTCCCCACTTTGAGGCTCAATCTCTCAGGCCTAGGAGCCTACACCCAGCCCAAGCAAAAGGGTCAGGTCAGCAGGAAAGACTGGCGGGGCTAGGGGACATGGCCTCACCTTTGAAATGGGGCTCAGTGCTCCAAATACCACCCTTCCTCTGTCTCTGTCCCTCCAGAGACCCTGCCCTAGACTGTTGATTCTCATGTGCAATAGAGGACACCACAGGGATCTGTGGAGCTCTTGACAGGAGTGGGTGAAAATGATTCAGGATGTTTGGGAAGAAGGCCTGGGAAGGAGTGCTTCCTATATGAAGGGGTGGCCCTAAGGGGAAGGGATTCCAAGCAGAGCAGGAAAGACAACTCTGAAGGACAAGTGGACAGTCCCTAGACCCAGGTCCCTACCACAGGGACCGGCCCTGCAGGAAAGGGTGGCACCAGGGTGCTCAGAGACCCTGACATTCCTGACCCTGGGCCATTACTAATACCCCTTCCCTGTCTTAGGTTTCACTTAGTTTCTTGGATCAAGAGTTAAGGTCATGGATCTGGACAGCCCATTCAGGGTGTGGGTTGGCTGTGGACCAGGGCAGAGGAGCTGCTAGCCAACGTGGCCTCTCTCAAGTCATCCTTCCTATCAGGGGCTGGGCTGGCTACCCCAGTCCTCTCGTCCCTGAGGGAGGTGTTCGCTGCTTGCGTTCTCTCCTCTTCCTCCACTAAAAAAAGAAGGGAGCCACCTGGATGAGCCTGCTCCAGGAACCTAAACTGACCCACGGATCCTGGAGGGTCGTGGAATCGGGCAAGCGGCTGCCACCCGGCCGCCACCACACTCACCAGGCGCTCAGACATGGGCGTCTTGTCCCCGTCGGGAAGGTGCTGCTCCAGTGCCAGCACGATACAGTTGGCGATGATAGTGGCCAGGATCATGTACTCAAACGGAGTGCGTGGGTTAAGGACTGGCCAGGAGGCGCCACGGGGGAAGGTAGGCGCGAAGGCCGAGGCCCACGGAGCGCGGGGCAGGCAGCAGCCGCGGCCAGGCCCCCTCCGGAGCGGCTGAGAAGGGCCGGCGGGAAGCCCACGCCGTCCTCCCCGCCCTCAGCCCGAGGCCGCCTCGGGGCGGAGCCTCTGCAGTGTGTCAGCGGCCAGCCCCTCCGCACGTCCCGGCGGCCGTCAGCACCGCGGACAGCGCCCCCGCTCCGCCCGGCTCCCCGCGACCCAAGGGAGGGGACTGCGCCCCCCGCGCGAGGCCGGAGGAAGGACCCCGCGCAGGCGCACACCCCGACCTGGGGACACGTAGCCACATGGACCCACAGAGGCACTCGAACATACGTGTACCCAGGGTCCTGAACGCACGCACGCGCACCACCGGGTTCATGGAATGCCCGCACACACACGCAGGCACCTGCAGCCAGGCACGCGCCCGGGCTCGCGTCCACAGGGGCGCCCACACCTAAACAGACACGGATTCGCCCTCGGGTGCCCTCCAGGCTGGCCGCGCGCTCCGCACCCACACCCAGGGGTGAAGGGACGAGTCCAGGGACAGGGGGCTCCACCCAGCGTCCAGCCCGCTCCAGCAGCCGCCGCCACCAGGACCACGCGCGCGCGCACTCACACACACGCACACGCGGCGCGCGGAGGGCCCCGGAGCCCCGCCCCGCCCCCTCCTCGCCGAGAGCCGCGTCCCCGATCCGCCTCTCCCCAGGTCGCACCCTCCTCCCGACCCCGGGAAAGATGGCCACTGGGCGCAGCCCGCGACCCGCCCCAGCCCCCGCCCCGGCCCCCCGCCCAGGCCGCCCCACCCAGGCCAGCCGGGGCGCCGACACCGGACGCCGCACCCCGGCCCGTCCCCGCGACCTCGGCCGGTCCCCCGGCCCCCGCGCGGCCCGGCCCCCGGCAGGATATGGCCACTCGGTGATGCGCTTGGCGTATTTGCGAACGACGTTGTCCTCGCTGAAGACGAAGAGCGAGCGGTTGACGGTGAAGCAGTTCTGCTTGACCGGGATGGGGTTGTACAGCGCCATGGTCCGCGCGCGCTGCGCGATCGACTGCTTGTAGAGCACCCGCTGGCCCGGCTGCAGCCCCCCGGGGCCCGGGCCGCCCGCCCCGCCGGCCCCGCCGCCCCGAGCACGCTCCCCACCGGCGCCCCCATAGCGGCTGCCCAGCTCGTCCCCGAAGCGGACCATGGTCCCCGGGCGCCGCGCGCATCCCCCGGCCCGGCGGCCCCGGCAGGGAGGGCGCTGGGCGCGACAGCCAGGCGCTCGGAGCCGAGCAGCAGCGGAGCCGCGGGACCCGCACCGGACCTCGCCCGGCCCCGCCGCCGCACCCGACTCCACCGCCCGCACCACGCCCTATAAGGGGCCGGTCACGTGGCGGCTCCCGGCCAATCGGCGCTCGCCCCGCCCGCCAGGCTGCCGCCCGCCCCGCCCCCAGCGGGCCGCCCCCGCCCTGTCCCCCGCGGCCGGTCCCCGCCACCAGCCCTCCCGGCCGAGCCCGGGGCTGGGGCGGGCGCGTGGCGCGGGCGCCGTCTGCGCGTCCAGCCTCGCGCCGGGGCGGGCGCTGGCCAGATGCTGAGTCGGGCGGCTGCGGCCGGGAGCCGGAGGGGCTTGGGCGCCCTCGACGGCGGAACGGGCGGCCGAACTGACCTCGTGGACCCTCCCTTGCCCCCAGAAGCAGGAGGCGTCACCAGCCGTGAGAAGCTCCAGCCCAGACTGCGAACGGTTAGGCCCCTGGCTCCCCATGTTTCTTTCCACACCTCACTCCCCTTGCTGCAGACCACTGGCTTCCTCCAAGAAGATCCCAGCTCCGGGGGCCCTCTCCTGCCATCCTCTCCGAGTCTGTGACACCTCCATACACCATGCTTTCAACTCCCTAGTCTTGAGTTCTCAGGATGCACAAGTCTGTCCTGGGGCCCCTTGGCCCTCCGTCCTATCCTAGGCCTTCCTGTCAACATGCACTGAATCACTTCCAAAATCTCAGTTCAGAGATTCCTTTGTTCCACCATCCAGTCAATAAAAATTAATGAGAACCTGCCATTACTCTTAATCCATCCATCCGTCCATCCATCCATCCATCCACCCGTCCATCCAATGACTCCTCTAAATGCCTAGTAGATGTCAGGCACTCAGCACCCAGCTCTGCCTTCATGGAGCTGACAATCTCATACAAGGAATGACAAGTGCTTCCACAGTGGCTACTGTGCCAGACCCTGCTCTACTCCATTCATACACTATTCGTCCATTCGGTCCTCACGACATTCAGATAAGAAGACTTCAGGAATCGCTCCTGGTGAGTGAGGGCATAAAGTAGATGTGGAACCCAGTGTCCCCTTCACCAGTACAGGATGGCAAATCGGTACGGAGGGCAGCACCAGGTGGCAGTGAGTGCTGAGAGGACAGAACAAGGACACAAAATGGCAAGTGACATTGGGGGAGGCTTTTCCATCACAGAGTCAGGAGAGACCTCTGGCAGGAAATGATCCCTGCACAGACCTGAGTGTCGTAGAGAAGTCAGACCAAGACAGAGCGCAGAGCCCCAGGGGTTCAGGAGTCGGGGGTAATGGGCTCCAGCTTCTGTTCCTAGTGTGACAAGTGAGTCAGAGAAGAGTTCTGAGCAGAGGGGTGATGGTGACTCCAGTTCTAAAGAGGCCCCTCAGGCTGGTGAGCAGGGAACAAACTGGGAGGCCAGGGTGCGCTGCCCAGGATGCGTTCCAGGGTAAGCGACTCCAGCCAGTGACCCGCGGCTCACACAGCACAGCTTTAACCTCATGAACTATGCCACCTTAGGAACACAAACTCTTTCCATCCTCAGCATGAGGACAGCATGTCCTCATGCTTGTCACCTCATGGCCCAAGGTGGCAACCATAGCACAAAATGTCCCATCTCAAAAGAAAGAAGGGGAGGGTGTAAAAAAATTCATTTTTAAAAAAATAAACACATGATTTCCTTTTATAACAAAGGAAAAGTTTCTCAGCAGCTCCTCAGCAAATTTCCATTTATTTATTTATTTATTTATTTATTTTTAAATTTCTCTTTAAATTCTATTGGGCACATCTGGCCCATGGACCAGCCCTGGTTTCAAGAGGGTGGGGAAGTGGATGGGTAGCAAAGAGGTGGGCACGTACTGACTGACCCCAGACATACACAGGGTTCACTTAGCTGCCAAGTGGAAGGGAAGTCTATAGGGAGGCTGCCAAATAGCCTGTCACTGGGGGAAGCTGGGAGGCCATCAGGAGTCTTTGGCCTCCTCTTAGGTCTTGGGCATCTCAGCCCAAAGGAGAGATGGCATGGTTCGGATGAGAAGCATTACACATGGCAGCTCTATCATGCAGCTGGCTGAGTGGTGATGTGTTGGTTGTAAGACGTGAGGGAGAAGGAATGGAGGCTCCTAGGGTTTCACCCAAGTGACAGTGTGGTCTTCGCTGCAACAGGGAAATGAGGGGAGGAGCTTCTTGCACCCAGGGCAGAGGTTAAGAATTACGTGTTTGACATAAAAGTGGTGATGTTGAGTCCGCAGTTGGCTGTGGCAAGGGGCATTCAGATGAGAGGTCATGGCTGGAGCTGGGACGCAAGAAGCTGTGTTGAGCACTTTGTGCCTGACCCTCCCATTCTCTCTGCCCTTCCTCACTCTGCTCCATGCCAGGCACTGGCCTGTGTAGACTGTTTCAGCTCCCTCCCTTGACGTCCAGCTCTTGGTTGTATTTGGCTGATAGGAAGCACCAGGAAGCCCTCGGAGGAAGGAAAGAGCGAGGTCGAGGTCTGTGTCCCCCCAGCTCTCTCCTGCTGGCTCACCAGGGGTTGCCCATGAGCCTCAAGTGAAGGTCTCCATTCCTGTCACCCCTTCCAGTTACTGCTCCCTGTCCTTGTCTCTGCAGGTGTGGAGTCGTTAGTCCCTCGAAGCTTTGTTACATGCTGCACGGGTCACAGTAGAGAGTCCCCGTGAGTGTGCCACCCAGTCAGACCACTGCCTGAATCAGAAGTCATCATGGAGGGAGAAAGTGTAGACAGAGAGAAGAGAGCCCAGGGAGCCGGGGGGGGGGGGAGCACTCAGAAAGAATCAAGTAGATGAAAAGGCGGCTGAGACGGAGCAGAGAACTAAGGGAGGGAAGGGTCAGGACAGCCTGGTTTGCAGGGCCATGGAAGGAGCAAATGTGGGGTGGGGGTATACTCATCTGCCAAATCCTGCTGAGCAATTCAGAGAGATGAAGGCCAACGCCCAATCATTAGCATAGCAAGACAGAGACACCTGTTACCTTGATCAAAGCAGTTTCCACAGATGAGTAAGATAGGCTGAGTGCAACGGATGAAAGAGGGTGACTCATGAGGAACTACATACAGCAAGGGCATACACCTTGTACGGGAAGTTTTTCTGCAAAAGGGGAGCAGAGACATGGAACAGTCCAGCTAAAGAGAGGTGTGGTATTGAAGGAGTCTGTGTGCTTTCTTTCTTTCTTTTTTTTTTTTTTAAGACGGGGATGTTAGGGACACCTGGGGGGCTCAGTGGTTGGGCGTCTGCCTTTGGCTCAGGTCGTGATCCTGGGGTCCTGGGATCAAGTCCTGCATCGGGCTCCCCACAGGGAGCCTGCTTCTCCTTCTGCCTGTGTCTCTGCCTCTCTCTCATTGTCTCTCATGAATAAATAAATAAAATATTTAAAAAAGATGGGGACATCAATGCACTTTTTATGCACATTGGAATTACTCAATAGGATGAAAACTTGGCGGAGCAAGAAGGGCGTGCAGCCTAGTGGAACTAAGAGAGCAGAGGACTTGGGACGGATCACTGGTCGTGACAGAAGGGAAGACCCGCTGCACGGTCATAGGCACAGGTGGGTTTGTAGACTGAGGGGAAGAAGAGGACTCTGTTCTGATTGCTCTACTTTCTCCATGAAATAAGGAACAAGACAATCAACCAAGAGGAGGTAGGGGTGCTGCAGGTTGAGAGGAGGAGCAGCAGGTGGAAATGTTCGCCCAGAGAAACGAAAAGGTGAATCTGCTGGGGAAATGTGGTGGGGCCAAGCAGTGCCGAGCTGGGAGGTAGGCAGAGGGAAGCGCCACTGGGGGTGAGGTTAGGAGCCTGTCACCCTTTATTTATTCATGAGCTAGAGATAGAGAGAGGCAGAGACACAGGCAGGGGGAGAAGCAGGCTCCCTGCAGGGAGCCCCATGTGGTACTCTATCCCAGGACCCCAGGATCACGAACTGAGCCAAAGGCAGACGCTCAACCGCTGAGCCACCCAGGTGCCCCGAAGCGTGTCACCCTTGATGACACCGTCTCCCTCCCTGGGCCGTCCAGCTCACATGCTCTGTGTCCCCCTACCCCCAGATCTCAGTGTTTCCAACTCCCCAGCTCCCTCGTCTCCTGGCAGGGCCCCCTGGTACCTTACCAGCTGTCCTCACTGGCACAACACCCCCCTCTGAACCTCCAGGGACACCTCCTGAGGTCCCAGCAGCTGCAGAAGGCCACACACTGGACAGACCGGGGTCACCACAGTACCCTGGGAAGTCTTCAAGGGTCTCCAGGTCAGGACTGCCCCATGCTTGACGACAGCAGCATCATCGTGTCCCACTGTCCTCAAAGGTCAGCCGCCGTCCATTCTCAGAGGATAGAGGCCTTGCCCCCTTCCATCCACATACCTGGAAGCCCAGCGCTGCCTCAGTGTCTCCTACAGAGGTCACTCCCCCTCTTTCCCCCCACCCTACTGATATATAACTGGCATATAACACGGCATAGGTTTAAGGTGCACAGCGTGATGAACCCATGTGGGTGTATATTGCAGAATGATCACCATGGTAAGGTCAGCTAACACACCCATTGCTTTACATAGTTTCTTTTCCCTCTGTTGCTGTTGAGATAGCTGAAGTATGTGGCTTTGGACCAACATCTCCCCATTTCCCCCACTCCCAGCCCTTGGCAACCACCATTCTGCCCTGTTTCTAGGAGTTCGGCCTTTTTAGGTCCATCACATGAGTGCATTGTACGGTATCAGCAGCAGAACTAATCTGTTCAGCGCAGCTCCCTCCAGGATCATCTGTGATGTCACAGGGTGGGGAGGGGGGGCGGCGGGATTTCCTTCTTATGACTGTACTCAGGTACATCACTGTACTTAGGTCTCACATCTTATGAACCCGCTCATCTGTAAGCAGACACTGAGCTTGCTCCCACGTCCTGGCCACTGTAGAGAAAGCCG